CAAAAAAGGTAACCTACAGCTATGACAAAACTATCGCACCATTAGCCTAATCAGCCATCCAAGCAAGGTCATGCTGAAGATCATATTGAACCGACTAAAACCATATGCCGACAGAATCATTGCTGAAGAACAGGTGGGATTCAGACAAGGACGGGGCACTATTGAGCAGATCCTAAACTTCCGAATACTATGTGAGAAATTTGCTATACACCAACAAAATCTATACCACGTCTTTGTTGACTTCAAGAAATCATTGACAGGTTTTGGCATGCTGCTTTATGGGCCACCACGAGGCACAACAACATCAACACAATATCACCTAACCAGAATGATATGCAACCTCTATGACAAAGCCACCAGTGCAGTATTCCTCAACAACAACATTAAAGAATGGTTCAAGACCACGGTTGGACTACGACAAGGCTGCCTGCTCTCCCCCACCCTGTTTAACATCTTCCTAAAGTGAATTATGTCAGATGCTCTGGAAGTGCATGAAGGGACAGTCAGCATTGGTGGCAGAACAACACCAACCTACGCTTTGCGGACGACATAGACGGACTGGCTGGGAACGAAGAAGAGCTAGCCAACCTGGTAAAGCGTCTCGACAAGACATCGTCGTCCTACGGCATGCTAATCAGGGCCGAAAAGACAAAATTGATTACAAATAACACCACATGCATCACCACTGAAATTAAGGTCGTGGAGGAAAAACTAGAGACTGTAGGCAGCCTCAAATACCTAGGAGCAATGATCTTAGAAAAAGGCTCCAAGCCCGAAAAGATGTCCAGGATTGAGCAGACTACAACAGCGCTAATGAGGCTCAAGAAAATATGGAATGACAAAAATATAGCCCCCAGCACCAAAATCAGGCTGATGCGCTCATTAGTCCTCTCCATTTTCCTGTATGCCTGCGAATCCTGGACATTAACAGCCGATCTTGAAAGGAAAATGTTGTTCGTCCGTCGAAGTCGACAAGGACCATCGAATCATCCGGTTAGGGGCGGGTGGAGGGTTGGGATTACGGTGACACGAGACTTGGGATGATGGGTATAGTTGGATGACTGATGACTTTCGCGGGTGACTTTTTTTAAAGTGAGGAAGAGTTGCGCAGCGTCAACCTCACTCTCTCGTCCGGACCCACCGTGTCCAGTGGCAAGACTATGTCAAGACGACCAGAAATGGGTACGGATGCAGTGGATGACCAAGATGAAAGGAAAATAAATGCGATGGAGATGAGATGCTTCAGAAGCATTTTTGGCATCTGCTATAGCGACCATATCTCCAAGGATAAAGTGAAAGAAATGGTTCACCAGGCAATTGGGGAGTACGATGACCTCCTGGTGACTGTGAAAAAACGCAAACTACAATGGCACGTAACAAGGAAGCAAGGGCTTGCCAAAGAAATATTGCAGGGCACTACAAGAGGAGGGAGAAGAAGAGGAAGACAAAGAAAAAGATGGGAGGATAACATCAAAGAGTGGACAGGACTAGCACTGGGTGATGCAGTGCGTAGTGCAGAAGACAGAGACGAAGGGAGGAGAATAGTTCACATGTCATCTGTGGCGCCCCAACGGTCCAAGAACTAAGGGACATGATGGATGGATGATGGATGGATAGAGACCATCCCAAAATGGCTCTATTGAAATTGGCAAACGTAGTCATACCACAAACAACGAGAACTGCAGGAAAGACACACACTTAAACACACAATCACACACACTCACATACACACAACACACACACACATAAGCACATGCACCACACACACAATATTAATTTTAAAAATATGTATTTAAAATGAAAAAGTCACAAACATATGTCACTTTTTTAATATATATTTTACAGAGCTCGCACGAGAGGGTTTCATAATATACAAGAGCAAGGTGCAACCAGACTTATCTTAATTGCCACCAGACTTATATCAGGTGCCACTAGCCTTATTTAGGTGCCAACAGACTTATCTTAGGTTCCACCATACTTATCTTAGGTGCCACCAGACTTATCTTAGGTGCCACCAGACTTATTTTAGGTGGCTTCAGACTTATCTTAGGTTCCACCTGACTTATCTTAGGTGCCCCCAGACTTATTTTAGGTGGCTTCAGACTTATCTTAGGTTCCACCAGACTCATCTTAGTTGCCACCTGACTTATCTCGCCCCAAAAAATCAGAATGAATCTATAAATGTTTTGCCAATTATGTGCAGGAAATGCTTATCATGGTCTCATTATATGCAGGAGATGCTTATAATGGCCTCATTATGTGCAGGAGATGCTTAGCATGGTCTCATTATGTGCAGGAGATGTTTATCATGGTATCATTATGTGCAGGAGATGCTTATCATGGTCTCATTTTTGTGTGCAGGATATGCTTATCATGGCCTCATTTTGTGCAGGAGATGGTTATTATGGTCTCATTATGTGCAGGAGATGTTTATCATGGTCTCATTATGTGCAGGAGATGTTTATCATGGTCTCATTATGTGCAGGAGATGTTTATCATGGTCTCATTATGTGCAGGAGATGTTTATCATGTATAAAAAATATAAATAGTATAATATATAAAAGAATCATTTCATTAAGTCTAAAATTATTCATCTAGATTCTATATCAATCTCCCTGTGGCTCCATGGGGGAGGGGCGTGTCAATCAATGCAACTTATTATGTCATGACTAAGTCATTACTTTCAAATCTACGAAGAAACAGTTCCGGTGTTCTGTTCCGACGGTTTTTAATTGTCGTTTATTAGGAATACGTTGTTTTTGTTCTTCATATTTGATCAATGTATTGATCATGTTGTGGCTCCTCGTATGAATTCAGAGTTAGCCTGACAAGGCAATCGTGTCCCATCCGCCCGGGGTGCTTGGGACATTTGGCTTTTGCTGGGATGAAACCCCTGACCACCACTATTTTAGTTTAGACCACTCGGCCAATGTTGACTTTGATGAAGCATTGCCAGGCTTTTCATTAGGGGGTAAAGTTTCAACATTAACGTGTAATATGGCGATAAAGTTAACGTTTTTTCAGTTTTTAAAAAGCGGTTACTCCCCCCCCCCCAACAATATTCTCTGTTTTCTTGTTTGACTTGTTTGGTCATTGGGCAAAGAAAACCAAAGGCGATTCTTTTTGATCTGGTTAAGACATTATCGGACCGGGTCGTGGGGCGGGGGGGGGGGATCGTCAAGCCAAGAGGGGAGTGACACCATGAGCTTACCGCACCGGGTGACACCATGAGTTTACCGCACCGGGTGACACCTTTAGTTTACCGCACCGGGTGACACCAAGAATATACGGCAACGGGTGACACCAAACTTCGTGACGCTTCTGACTGTAACATTTCTGAAAGATCACCATTAGGCCCATCAAATAATCGATAATGCAAACTAACAACACAAGCCTCCTTTGTTGGACTAAATGCAAATCTTTAAAAAACATAAAAATCCTGATTTGGCCGTTTGCATGATAAAGTTGACATAAGGAAAGCACGGTTTCCATCGTCTTTTGGTAGCTCTCTTGGAAAAGGAATATGTCTCACCTTTAACAAAACTCTCCTGTTGAGCCGATGAAAATATAACTATTTCAAATTACCCAACGTCGAAAGGCTGCGACAGAACATATCCAACCAACGTTGACAAGCTGAACTATTCTGGTCGACGTCACACAAGATTATGCATCTTCAGTCTGGGACCCATTTACCCAGAAGAGCATTGACAGGTTGGAGGCGGTCCAGCGACGAGCAGCACGCTTTGTCCTAAACCGCTACAGGAATACCTCAAGTGTTGGCAGCATGACCAGAAGAGCATTGACAGGTTGGAGGCGGTCCAGCGACGAGCAGCACGCTTTGTCCTAAACCGCTACAGGAATACCTCAAGTGTTGGCAGCATGCTAGAAACACTAGGCTGGTCACCATTGGAGAAACGACGACGACAATCCAGGCTCTGCATGATGTACAAGATAAATAATGGGCTGGTCCACTGTTCCAGTATTAAACGGAAACTCGTCCCTCTCCCCCATAGACAGCGACGAGGCCATGACAGGCAATTCAGGCTCATACCAGCAAGAAGCCAGTATAGGAGCTGCTCATTCCTGCCCAAGACAATCAGGGACTGGAACAATCTTTCAAAAGGAACGGTTGAGGCGACAACACTAGACACATTTGTGTCTATTGCCTCAAGCCTTCAAACCCCCAGTGCATGATTCCCTCACAAAGTGGCACTGGAAATCTGTGAAATTTCCTCATCAACACCAGGAACAGAAACATTGCAAATCCCATCTACATGCATAGGAGCCAAAATGATCAATAAAGTGATCGTGGGCCCTTAAGATATAGAAGAAGAAGAAGAAGACACAATACTGAAGGTACCGCTTGACATGGCATGTGCGATTAGCACGGGAAAACACGAGTTTTGTCCCTTAGAAACCTTTGCGCACTACGCGCTAAACGCATTTTATTATTATTGTTTTAAAGGTTCGTTATTGACAGGTTTGAATGTACTCATGTTTAGTTAGAGGCGTGACAAAGATTTTAGGGTACAGAGCAAATCAAAATTTTGGGGCCCAATAAATTTGAAAGTAATGGTATCAAACCTAATTGTACTAAAAAACAAAACAAGCTCAAACAAACAAACAAAATTGGCTGTCCTGAGTCCCTCATGGGGGCATGGCCCCATGTAATGCCGTGTGTTACTTGGTTGCCTCGTCAGCTGATGATTCTCAAGGGGAATGAATTGAGCACAAAAAAAAAGCAAGTCATCATTTTTAAAAAAATTTTTAAAATGAAATTAGGCCAAGTTGGTGAGTGGTATTATTTTGTATTAATAAAAAATAATAACTTCTAATGTAAAAAATCACGTGAAACGTTTTTTTTTTTTTTAAATTTTTATTTGCTAAATTAATCAGAGCACACAAAAACATGTCTTACAATTTAGGACTTAAGCTATATCAGAATTTGTTTTCTTTCCTTTAAAAATGTATCATTTTAGGCAGGACATTTTCATTTAAATTTAGATTTTAATGGGTCATTCGAATTTATTCTTTCCACAAGGTATGACAATAATCGTTATAATATACCGATGCAGGACCACAGCTCGTCAGCCTAAATGTTTGATTTTATTAGTATTAGTTAAAAGAAAAGAAGAAAAAAATATAACTAATGTGGGGAACGTTTGGGATTTCGGAGATGAATATTTGGTGCTCTCTTAATATTGTGAATGGAGAATACAAACTTCCGGTTCCCAATGTCACTTTCTGTTAGTTTGAATGTAAACTCGATATCTCTAAGTAGTGCAGTTTTCGACAATTTTCCTCATTAAAAACAAGATGGAAAGTAAGGAAGTTCTGCACAGATATAATACTGACATAACCAATGAATTTTTCTACAAATACAGAGAAAAGATACATCCCAGCATTTTAACAAAATTGTTTTATGGAGATGACAGAGATTTGTTAACCAAAACATTGAATAGTACAAAATTAGGCTTATATGGCGGTGAGTATTTTCCCTATTAAATTTATGTATGTTATATTAAATATTTGGTAATTTACCACTTGAGCGTCGGCCAAGAAAAAATCCAGCTGTTCCGGTTTGAAGGGCTATTTAAACACTTATTATTATCTTGTTTTTACGAGGTTGTACATATTCATTCCAGCACATATACAGTAGAACAAATAACACAAGACAATTTAAAAAAAAATAGAAAATGTAAAACAATTTAATTTAAAAAAAAAATTAAATAGAAGAAATCAAACAATGTAATGTGTAAAAATGACATTATGCATAATTCTCCCCCAAGGCGAGAATGAAGTTCTTGAAAATATCATTTGGGGGAGAACTACTGTGAATTTACCGAAGAAGTAAGATTACAAAAATATAGTCCATTCAATTATCTTTCATTTGTTACCTAATTTTGTCTTACAAACCCTACAATAATTTTAAAAATATTTTTAATAAACCCTAACACTCGTTTCTCGGACTTGGGTCCGAATAGCTGCAGCCTTATAGTTTATATAAGATTCTGTGTTCGGACTCCCTTTCGTATATTTTTAGGGAATTATTTTTTATTTATTAGTATTAATACACCTCAATACCGCCCCCGCACGCAGTTTGCGCATGTCTGAAAGTAACGCAAAAACTTGTGTGGCAATATTAATATACGGCATAGCGAGGGTGTTGTTTTTTTGCATTGTACTTCACAGTTTGTTAATAATAGTATTTAAATTATCGGTGACGTGGAGCACATATTTTTCCAAACACTGGAATACCAAATTTGCAGCATTTAGAATCTTGTGACCGGTAACGCATTTAATTTTTTCATCAGTATGTACGTTAATTGCTTATTACTTTTTAATGTAAAAATTCAAATGCATAGTGGTTTAGCTCAATACTTCTTCTTCTTCTTCTATATCTTAAGGGCCCTATTTTGGCTCCTATGCATGTAGATGGGATTTGCAATGTTTCTGTTACTGGTGTGGATGAGGAAATCATGCACAAGGGGTTTGAAGGCTGGAGGCAATAGACACAAATGTGTCTAGTGTTGTCGCCTCAACCGTTCCTTTTGAAAGATTGTTCCAGTCCCCGATTGTCTTGGGCAAGAATGAGCAGCTCCTATACTGGCTTCTTGCTGGTAGGAGCCTGAATTGCCTGTCATGGCCTTGTCGCTGTCTATGGGGGAGAGGGACGAGTTTCTGTTTAATACTGGAACAGTGGACCAGCCCATTATTTATCTTGTACATCATGGAGAGCCTGGATTGTCGTCGTCGTTTCTCCAATGGTGACCAGCCTAGTGTTTCTAGCATGCTGCCAACACTAGAGGTATTCCTGTAGCGGTTTAGGACAAAGCGTGCTGCTCGTCGCTGGACCGCCTCCAACCTGTCAATGCTCTTCTGGGTAAATGGGTCCCAGACTGAAGATGCATAATCTAAAATCGGACGGATAAAGGCTTTATATGCTCTTTCTTTCACACAGGAGTTGCCAATCTTTAGATTTCGCCTTAAGAACCCTAAGGCTTGGTTTGCTTGGTTACATACATTGTTAATATGCTCGTCCCAGCGGACCTCTCTTTGAATGGTAACACCCAGGTACTTTACGGAGGAAACTTGCTCAAGAATATGGCCGTGCAGTTTGTATTGGTAGTGTAGAGGAGTACAACTTCTAGAGATTGATAGTGTCTGGCACTTGGCAGGGTGAAATTCCATGTCCCAGCTTATCTCCCACTCAGCTAACAGATTGAGATCCTGTTGTAGCTGGTCCTGGTCCGATCTGTTGGCGATCGTCCTATACACTGCAGTGTCATCTGCGAACAGTCTTGCCTGTGATGTCAGTTTCTCGGGTAGGTCATTAATGTATGCTAGGAACAAACAGGGGCCCAGGACTGATCCCTGGGGGACCCCTGACTTCACATCGACAAAGGAGGAGCTTGTACCACCCACCACTACTGCTTCATTCATTCACACAGTTTAATAACTTTACTTCATTAAAATTAGCCCTAGCGCACAAAAGTTATGCCCATCTGACTGGAAGGTGTAAGAAAATAAAATTGTTATTAGTCACCCGAGTCATCCCCCCTCACACAAAAAAGTGGGTTGTCGGAAATGGTTCTTGTTACCAATTTAATTTAAAGATATTTTCATTGATTCATTATAGTTCATCTTTGATAAAACATTTTTTGCAAGAGAAAATTTTAACTTTCTGTTGCAAACTTGGAATTCCTTCCATATCCAATAAGGCGGAACGTTTGGATGCAGATGACTGCGACAAAGTTTATGAAGGAGAGATTTATGGGATTCATCAACAAGACAACGAAGTCACTGTAGGGCATTCTACCCAGAAAATGGCAGGCAGAAGATTCCCATTACCTTTTAAATTTAATGACATACCCCGTACGGATATGCTTGTAATTAGTTTTATGGGTGAGATTAGTAGTTTTTATTTATAATCTCATGCATTCAATTTTATTTAAAAAAAGACATCTACTTACCTTTTATTAATATAAGAATTGATACAAAATTAAACTGAAGAATATAATTCATTAAAATTAAAGTTAAAGTATAAATTAACATGTTATTTTTTGGTTTTTCTTTTAAAAATCATGATTTTTCCAATTTTTCTGTTTATGTTTTTTCTAACAAAAACTCCAATAAAATTATCCAAAATACAAAGACTTAATGTTATGTAAAAGTTTTGTTGTTTGTTGTGTTGTATATTGCACTGAGAATGTCTCCTGAAAATTCGGTGTCATTATCTTTTAAAATAAAAAAGTTGTGGACAAATAAAGCAGAAATGTGGAAAGTTGGTCACTAGTTTTTTTTAGTTAAATACAAAGAAAAATTAGGAGGATTAAAAAAGTCACCAAAAAAATCTTTTTTTCCATAACAGACAGAAAGATGAAATTGGTGTTTTGTAAAGGTTAAAGGTAGCCCTTTAAAATGATGTATCATTTGTGGCAATTGGACAATATTTAAAATTTGTGTCAAAGTACCTATATAATTGTTGTTTTTTTGTTTGTTTCCTGAGTTTATTTTCGGATAAATGGAAAAATGAAATGAAAGCTTAAAATAAACATGACATAACATTTTAATTTATTTTTTGAAAATTTACATTACCGTTTATTGATTGGAAGAAGTGGCGTCGAGGAATATTTCAACATTGAAGTGCTACTACAAAAGTTGATGTGAATAATTAGCGGATAGTAAAATAAAAGTTAAATTTTATGTTAATTATATTACTTGCCATTTTGCTTCCATCTAAGTGTCATTCTGAGCGTTTGAAAATATAAGAAAGTTGGCTTTGTTGGTAATGTTTATGAAAAATAGAGAAATTATTTTTTATATGAGGTACTTTAAAATTATGCAGATATAGAAAAAAGAATGATACAATTAAAATTACGTAATTGCTTCATTTGTGGAAAATGGGTTTCATATTGAATTTATTTATTTATGTATTCTATTGATTTTCTTATAATGACTGGATATTGTTTTTGGTGGAACTTGAAGTAAAATGTGTAAAAGTGTATTCCATAAAACTGTAAGTTTGGTTTTCATTATTTTGAAATTATTTTATTTTGTTTTTATCAGTGTGTAATTGTAGAAGTGTGGCCGAAAATATGTTTTTTACTTGGGACTTGAGGTTTAGCGGTTTAGGGTTAGTTTTAGGGTTCATGTTAGGTTTAGTGATAAATTTAGGGTTCAGGTTTGGTTTAAAGATAGGTTGTTTTTTTTTCAGGTTAAGGGATGGCAGCTGCCCACCAATAAAATTATGTATCACCTGATTTTACTTCATCAAATTTGCATGATTTTTGCTAATTATTTACATTTTTAAATTTGCAATTTGTGGATTTTTTCGCTTCTTCCATATTTTCCATTATTTTCCATTTTTATGGAACAAACTTTTTAAAATAAACTATTAGTTTCTGTTTTTAAAAAAAAGAAATCTACGTGTAAAATTGCTTATTTTCCTATCTTTCAGTAAGTAGTTGAAATAACACATTCTCTCCCATCCTCTCCCTTTTTTATCACATGTTTGTTTGCACTATTTTTATTTTACTCCTTCGCGTACTTCATTGACACAATCTTTGACCTTAGACGGATCGTGTCAACCAAGATGGTGGCCATGGAAAAAAAATGTCGTAATCTCTTTGCATTTACCCAAAGTTGTCTGTTACAAAAACTATTGTTACAAAAACTTGCTGTTGTAAATTAATTATGTTCTGACCCAATTATTAAAAGTATTGGGTCTGAAATGTTTAATGTTTGTATTAACAAACAAAGGTTCCTTTCCTCTACGCTTTGATTAGTACTGCTATTATGGTTATGTCTAGGGTACGATTAATTTCCTGATGAAGTATTCTACACTAATCCTACTTCACACTCACTCTATCATTCAAGGAAAACTCTCACTAGCTCTCACTTGCAAGTCTATTAATACTTAAACTATACTAATAACACAAGAGTGGTTCAGCCCACAAATAAATATTTAATTATAAGAAAACAGAACTATCAGCATACAAATTACATATACTATACACATAAACAGGATAACAAGATACTGCCCAATATTATTGTATAGTAGGCTCTCAATGGCGATCTGGTCGAATAAGCAAGTCCCCACACACACACACCACAGCGGCCCTCTGCTCGGGTCACAACGTACTGCGGGGTTGGGCGGCTTGACTGCGTAAGTGTCTCCGGTCACTGGCACTGCGAGGAGGTAGGTGCCGACTTTGAACTTTACTGTGGGTAACACACACACAGTATATGCTACCGTCTTGTTGATTCCTTTGGCTTATCTCCTGCTAATAACTGCGACTCCTTTACTGAACTGTACTAGCTTTAGTTCCAGATATTATTTATTGAACACCTCTGACCAAATATTTACTTTACAAATACTTTCTGGTCAAATATTCTTTACTGGCCAAATGTTACATACTGTAACTTATTTCATGTAATTTCTTCACTTTACGTAACTTCAGTTTACTTCACTTTACGTAACTTCAGTTTACTTCACTTTACTTAACTTTACTTTACTTAACTGGCTAGAAATGAGAATAATAAATACAATGCATAAGACATAGCTAAGAATTACAAATCACATCACATTATAAATTATTAATAGTTATCATATTCAAACATTAACAATAGTAACTATGGTCCTACCATTTTCTTAATAACATTACATCTACGACTCTACATACCAGTACATATGAATATGAAATAGAACAATACTAACCCGACACAATCGGATAAACACACTTTATCAGCTAATTATGCCAGCCAGGCTCTTCTGACATAATTCAGGTAAGAGAGGCCGATACATGATTTGGGCTTTCAATATATACTCTAAGTTTGGCGTGCTTGTCCCGCATTTAAGCGTGGCATCCCAGAGTCGTGTTTAAATGACTCACAAGCGTGGCTTCGGATTCCGTTACGCGTTGGTCATCAGAGTGACAACTCAGAGTTGGGACGCTTGATAAGAATGAGTGTATTGCTTAAACTGGGTCATGGCCAAAGTGAATAAGTTCATTTCCATTGTTATTTGAGTCTACTTGTATTATTTTAAGGCCCAGCCTAATTGTGTCATATCGCGTGGGGTAGCGCTGAACGCGTGGGGTAGCGCTGGAGAGAGTGGAGCCAGCGGGTCTCACAAAGGTGAGGACCAGCGGGTCTCAACATTGTCCTAGGAAATAATTTAAATTATCAAATCAGCTATCCCTTTCTATCAACTTTGAATTCATTGAGCAAAAAACAAAATGTGACAGGATGACTCCAAAAATCAGGTGTTGTTCGTCCATCAAAATCGACTAGGACCATTGAGTCATCCGGTTGGGGTGAGGGTGGGTTACGGTGAGCTCGTATGTGGCTTGCTAACCCGATCCATGCTCGGAATAATCTCTGGCATCGCGGGCAGGGGATTGTTGCTGCAGTCGGTGATCTAATGTTGCTTGCTAGCCTACGTGTCTCAGCTGTGGTTATCCTACTGGCTTCATGAGATTTAGCCCTCGTCTTGACAGTTGCTCTCCACCTGACTCTGTCCTGGGCTGTCTGCACCCATTGACTAGGGTTGATGCTGAAGGACATTAATGCCGCTTTCAGTGAGTCTTTGTTAATTTTTTAAAAATCTTTTTGGGAGCGCTTGCCTATCATGAGTTCTCCGAAGAATATCTACTTTGGGAGCTGGTGGTCTTCCATACGGGCTATGTGTCCCATCCAACGGAGTTGAGAATGCATCAGGGGGGTGTAGATACTTGGTAGGTTCGCTCTAGCGAGGACCTCTGTGTCAGGAACTTTGTCTTGCCACCTGATGCAGAGGAGTTTTTTTGGGAGGTTGTTCAGTTTCTTGGCGTGACGCTGGTAAGCTGTCCACGTTTCACATTCATAGAGCAAAGTCGAGAGGACTGCTGCGCTATAGACCTTGATCTTCATTTCATTTCTTATACCTCTCCTGCCCAAACAGTACAGAGGAATTAAGATTTTGCGAGTCTTGCATTCATTTCATCATCCATGAGGACTGATCTGGAGAGGGTGCTGCCCAAGTATGTAAATTTATCCACCCTGTTTAAGACGCTGTCCGCTGATGATGATGTTGGATTCAACGTAGGGCTTACTGGGAGCTGGCTGATACATCACCTCAGTCTTCTTTGTGTTGATTGTAAGGCCAAAGTTATTGCAGGCCTCAGAGAAGACAGCAACGCTGTGTTGCATGACGGCTTCTGAGGCAGCGTTGAGTGCATAATCGGTATGGGTGTAATCATAAGCTTGTTAATTGTAATTTATTGTATATGTTTCATTTACAGTCATCCAATCCGAAGCTAGATTATCTAGTTCAGAGCTCTGCAACCTGTGTGCCTAGTGGTCCCTGCATCGTAATTCCCCTAGGAATTGTGAAGATGATATAATTGTTTGAAACGAAAGCGACAATGATTGGCTCATAATGCTTAATAACAAGCTGTTAAACGTTTCATGTCAAATAGTATGCACATATGTAGGTTTAAATTTGGCGTGGGACTCACACATGAAAAGTCACTATCCCAATGTGTCTGAAGCAGCAAGTGAAATATGTCTCTATTTCTTTGATTGCATGCATTTCACATCTCTACTGTCTTAGTACTGTGTGATAGTTCTACTTGGTGTTGATTGCTGATTCTTTAAAAATTGTTTACACTTACAAGGTAACATCTAATTACCGTTAAATGAAAACAAATAAACCACAAAGTCTCATCCTGAGTCAAAATGGACCCAGACACGCAGCGCTGCCATTCGCACCTGGGTACCATTAGACTCAAGCTCATGTGGATGTCATTTGTTGTAGTTTATTTTAGTAAAAGTGAAGAATTAAGTTTACAAACATATAGTCCATTCAATTATCTTTCATTTGTCTTACAAACCCAACAATAAAATTTTAAATAGTTTTTTAATCTCAACCTCTTACTTCTGGTACCTGGGTACCAATAGTCGCAGCCATTTTAATTTTGTCTTTTAATGGTAAATATTTCTTTGTGTTTAATCAGTATCTGTACAGATTTAAAAAAAAAAAAAAAATAGATATAAAATTTACACTTTTAAGTAGATACAAGCAGTTGCGTACAAAAAAAGTGTAAAGAGATTTTTATTTTAATTTTGTTTTTTAATGGTAAATATTTCTTTGTGTTTAATAAGTATCTGTACAAATTTAAAAAAAAAAAAAAAAATAGATATAAAATTTACACTTTTAAGTAGATACAAGCAGTTGCGTACAAAAAAAGTGTAAAGAGATTTTTTATTTCTGCTCTATTGATATACACCCTTGAACAGTGTTGACTATTTTATATAATTGTCCTGTTATAAAAATCTACCATGGCTCATGTTATTTTCAAGTCTATAAGAAATTTGAAAAAACACATTTTAAATGTTTGTACCGGTACGTGTAAACAACAGCGAACCACATTTTTTTTCCTTTCATGTTTTAATTGTGGTTTGCCATGGAAATCTAAGAAGGGTCTATTTGTGTCCTGTGGGGAAAAAGGTTGAGAAGCCTGATCTACTAGATAAGACAGTAGATAACTGATGGTTAAATAAAAGAGCAGGATGCCACCTGAACCACCAGACTGAACAGGTTGCCACCAGAGCAGGGACATTTGGAGGAGGTGTATGGTTAATTGTTATTATTTTTAGTAATTTTATATACTCTCTGTTGGTCTATTGTATCTTCATATGTTTGTATCTCCTATCTGAAGATATTCACCCCTACTACTTGTAGTGAAATAATCTAAATCCTACAATAATATTGGTGGCAGTTGAATGATTTATTGTGTATATTAACTACCTACCTAAATTTCCGTTTACTTTATTTGAGATTTAGGCAATGGCTTTGGATTTTTAAATAAGTTAAATTGTCGCTAAAACTCAATAAAATCACTCTGGCACACAAACTCAAAATAAACCTTTTCAAATGAATTTATTTTCAGCCATTGCCATGGGTGGACTTGTATATTCATATCAAAAAGCGCCTCCATTTAATCACTATGCTGCTATTGAGAGATCTTTTACTCATGGCACACCCTGGTGTAAGAATTTAACTTGTTTATTTTTATACATATTCTATAAAAAAAATTTTTTTAGCATAATTCCTTCTGGAAATTAATAATTCATTAACAATTTTCAACTCTTAGTTGTTTGACATAAAGATATAATATAATTTATTTAATGCATTATTTTCTTGTCAAATTTTTTCTTCTCTCACCATTGGTACTAAGGTTTCAGCATAATGTAAAATTAAATTATTATGAACACTCTGAACAGGTTAAGAATTTATCATATATTTAATATGTTTTAGGTGAAATGTTTTTAATTTAAATGTTAATGTATTAAATAAATATTTGTTTCTTCTGAAAGAAACTAGTTAAACTATAAAATGCATTTAATAAGAGGGAATGTGTTTTAAATCTCAGTGATTGCTGGCATAGCTTATGGCCTGGCAGTAGGTGCAAGTGCTCAACTAAGAGACGCAGATGGACCCTTAAATCACCTTTTTGGAGGAATTGCCGGTGGAACTATGCTGGGAACCTGGTGTAAGTTAACTATCAATACGTGTGTCCAGTACATATTTATGCTGGGAACCTGGTGTAAGTTAACTATCAATACGTGTGTCCAGTACATATTTATGTTGGGAACCTGGTGTAAGTTAACTATGAATACCGTTGATAACCTTTCACAGCAAATGACGCTTATGTTGTCAACATTGCCGTTGATAGCCTTTCACAGCAAATGACGCTTATGTTGTCCTAAACCGCTACAGGAATACCTCAAGTGTTGGCAGCATGCTAGAAACACTAGGCTGGTCACCATTGGAGAAACGACGACGACAATCCAGGCTCTCCATGATGTACAAGATAAATAATGGGCTGGTCCACTGTTCCAGTATTAAACAGAAACTCGTACCTCTCCCCCATAGACAGCGACGAGGCCATGACAGGCAATTCAGGCTCATACCAGCAAGAAGCCAGTATAGGAGCTGCTCATTCCTGCCCAAGACAATCAGGGACTGGAACAATCTTTCAAAAGGAACGGTTGAGGCGACAACACTAGACACATTTGTGTCTATTGCCTCAAGCCTTCAAACCCCCAGTGCATGATTCCCTCACAAAGTGGCACTGGAAATCTGTGAAATTTCCTCATCAACACCAGGAACAGAAACATTGCAAATCCCATCTACATGCATAGGAGCCAAAATGATCAATAAATTGATCGTGGGCCCTTAAGATATAGAAGAAGAAGAAGAAGAAGAACATTGCCGTTGATAGCTTTTCACAGCAAATGACGCTTATGTTGTCAACATTGCCATTGATAGCCTTTCACAGCAAATGACGCTTATGTTGTCAACATTGCCGTTGATAGCCTTTCACAGCAAATGACGCTTACGTTGTCAACATTGCCGTTGATAGCCTTTCACAGCAAATGACACTTATACATTATATCAGGATTTCTCAACCTGGGGTGCAAGCATCAGCAGGGGTATCGGGGGCATTTCACGGTGGTGCAAGGAAAGGGAATCATTAGAACAGAGGAGACACTAACTTTCAGTTATGATATGAATATTTTTATGTTTTAAAACATGACTACTTGAAGTCACTCAGTCACTAGTTCATCCTCAAAGTTCTAGAAATCTCTTTTCAATTCAATTAATAAATTAAAAGCCCATTATTTTAAAATGAGATTTAGTAAAACTTTCTCAGGAGATGCAAGACTAGTCAGATAATTTGGGTTTACAAAAAATTGTTTTTGTATTCATTGAGTGTTACAATTCTTAGTTTAAAATTCAAATAAAAATTTCTGCTTTTGAGCACTATTTGCATTTACTTTAACATAAATGTATGTCAATTTAAATTAATTTTACCTAGTTCTTTGTGGATTCTGTGCCCTAGATTAAGAAGGATGAACGATTCATCAGGGAACAAAAACCAGAGAGCATTTTTTAAATAAATGTATTTATATCTATATTTTTAAATTTATATTTTAACCACTTTTCAAATTATTTTAACATCCTCATTTCTTGTACCCAAATATAACATTTCAAATATTGCTGTAGATGAGTGCAACTGGTAAAAGCTTTCTGCTTCAAAAGTTAATTGTTCTACTGTAACTTATAACACAGAGCTGTTTTTAATGTTTTGTGTTAGTGAACAGGAAATTATGCTGTTGTGTATAGCAACGCATTCCGATATAAGATAAATATTTTTTTCTTGTTTTTATCCATTCAACAGATAAGTCAGTGCGCTTTGGAGCCGGCTCAAGTGTCACACTTGTTTCAATTGGTGCTGTTTGTAAATTCTTGGCTGATAGGGATGAGTTGACGCCACAGATTGTCAGGAGACCTCGTGTCTTTAATAGTTACCGCACTGGGTGGTTCACCGAACGACCCAACCCTGAAGGCATTCAGGATGCCGAGCTGGATGATACATATAAGTTATACAAACCTTGATCTTTTTAAACATTACTTGTTAACTGATGATATATCTGACTTACTTTTCTTGTTGTGCTGGTTATGTTTGTAAATAGTTTTGGGTTTTCCTTTTCAATAACCAAACTATTTTGTCTTTGTTAACAAAGTTAAAAGAAGTTGAAATTAGGAAGAGTTTTTTTATTATTTTTAACTAAATTAAACTCTAGATGGGTTTAAAATTTACATACAGGTTATCCTGTTTTATGTTAGATAGGTCACCATACCTCATCTTAGATACAAAATGTGTGTGCTGTGTTGATTATCAGACAAATTGTTTTATTTCACCGATAGACATTTCACAAAATCTCTGTTCACTGTGCTCTTTTTTCAAACCAATGATAATATAGATGTTCTTAAAATTGAATGTTATTGAATATCTGGTTGTCTCCATCTTTACCACAAAAAACGAAAAGGAGTGGTAACAAATAATCATGGTTTGAACATATCAGCATGCTGTTTCACATTATGAATTATGAAGATATTGTGATGCTTCACTTCAGTGAAGGGGTGCCAATAGTGTAAACTTAAGCAGAACACCACTGTCGATTTCCACAGAAGAGTATGTAAGCTCAAATTGAAGTTTGGGTAAATTTTGTTAGTATACTTTTGATTATATCAAATATCTCAGAATCATAGATTTCAACAGAAACAAAGTTGTTGTTTCAAATAGATAATAAAATCAGTTGAATGTATTCAGTGCATCAAAGTGTTGACTTTTTCCTAACTCATAAAAAAAGGCGAAGTTAATCTTTTTCCTTTGGCTAACTAAATAAAATAAAAAATGTGCATAGAAGAGAAAGCCTCATTATTTACATAAATATGTACTGGGTACAGACTCAAATTTATTTCTCCGAACTCACCATAAGCATAAAAATATTATCTGACCCAACTTTATCACCCCACCCCCCATTTCCCCCAGTGTATAGTAATAAAGTAGTAATTCTGTGTATGGTTACAATGTAGTAATTCTTGTGTCTGAAAAAGCAAGATCCTTAAACAACATTATTACTACCCCTAGTACATAAAATCTCTATTTGCAACAAACTATCCCTAGTAAAATAAATGTCTATTTTTCAACAAACATGTTATTATTATCCCTAGTAAATGAAATATTTTGAAAGAAACATGCCTGTATAATTAGTATAAATCTGTGGTTTTGTTTAAAGAAATGTTTAAAACTGTGGGAATAGTTAGAGCAGATGTATTCAAGAATATAAAATAATATCTATTAAGTACATTCCTGTCACCACATTTCTGTCACCCCAATCCTGTTACCTCAGAGCAAGACAATATCTCTCTCAATATAGGTAACAAAGCTGAGTGAGAAATAACCAAACTAAACCCAAGTTGATCAAAATCAATGTGACTAAACTAAGCACATACAACAAACTCAACATTTAAAACAGTTTTATTTTACTAATGCCACATACAATCTTATTTATAAGCTGGTAATGGCCCATCACAAAATGACAGAAAAGGCACTATTTCTACAATATATACATTTTCATTTATTATGGAGGTAAAATAATGTTAAAATTAAAAGAGTTTAATAAGCTTAAATAACTTAACTCTCAGTAGAAATCAAATTAATGCAAGACTTTCAATCTAAATAACCAGAAACAAGTAATGCAAACACAGTTATTGGAATATTTTGATGATGCTCAACATTTGATATGAAATAATTTGATACCCCCAGCAATTATTTAGAAATTGCAACTATTGCACACATTTTTGTGGTTCTTTTCAAGATGGTTAGCTATTAATTTTTTTTTTTACCAATGTCAAACCTTCTGTGGTCACTTAAAAAAAAAAAATATTAAGATTGTTTTATAAACAACTGTCCTGACAGGGTACCTAGGTTGCCCTCCCAGCTGTGGACATTTACTGAGGTGAAATGTGACAGTAATCTAGCCAGACATCCAACTTAGCATGGAATTAGAAATAATTTAGAACTACATTTACCTGACACTACCTATAGAAAAGATGTCGATTGAGAAAACAATTAGATATATGTTATTAATATTTCTCTTCTCAGTTACAAAGATATAACGTTATTAATATTTCTCTTCTCAGTTACAAAGATATAACGTTATTGATATTTCTCTTCTCAGTTACAAAGATATAACATTATTCCATGAGAAAACTATTAAGATGTACTGGTACTGGAAAAAAATTTGTCTAAAAATCAATTACTTACATTTAAAACCTCAAATCACAGCACAACGAATATCAAATATCTGCAGCACAACAAATGTCAAAGATCTGCAGCACAAAAAATGTCAAATATCTGTAGCACAACAAATATCTGTGGCACAACAAATGTCAAATATCTGTAGCACAACAAATATCAAATATCTGCAGCACAACAAATATCTGTAGTACAACAAATGTCAAATATCTGTAGCACAACAAATGTCAAATATCTGCAGCACAACAAATATCAAATATCTGTAGCACAACAAATATCAAATATCTGTAGCACAACAAATGTCATGTCTGCAGCACAACAAATATCTGTACACAACAAATGTCAAATATCTGTAGCACAACAAATGTCAAATATCTGCAGCACAATAAATATCTGTAGCACAACAAATATTAAATATCTGTAGCACAACAAATATCAAATATCTGTAGCACAACAAATGTCAAATATCTGTAGCACAACAAATGTCAAATATTTGTAGCACAACAAATATCTGAAGCACAACAAATGTCAAATATCTGCAGCACAACAAATATCTGCAGCACAAGCTTAAATAAAAAAAACACATTTATTTTGGAAAAAAACCTAGATCTCCTAGAAGATATGCTGAGCATTCTGACAGGTGTGGTGGATTAGATCTTTTAGAAATATGCTGAGCATTCTGATAGGTTGAAATGAAACAATTGTGGATAAAACATTGTGACACCGACACAAATTTTCATTGAAAGAAAATGTGTGGTGCCAACCACTGGTGGAGTCAGACTTGTGCATCAAGAGTTTGATCTGTCATATGAGACAACACACACACACACATATATATATATATATATATATATATATATATATATATATATATATACACACATTTGGAAATCCTAAGGCTACAGCAGAGAAGCGTGTCGCCAATGGAGTATTCTTAATAGCTGATTCTAAGAATGCTCATTGCAAGCGATCTCTGGATTTCTTCAACCATGCATTTCCTTGTTCACACCCAAACCATTCCTTGATTGTTTCAGCTCTTTCCTACAGTGGTGAACTGATGTAAGCAGGGTTTTCAATGCCACCTTTGCTTTTTTCCATAGTATCGATGCTGACAGTACTTACATTATTGTCAATTTCTAATAATTTTTTTTTCTCAAGCTCTAGCTTTGCATCTTCTTCATCCATCTTCTTCAGGTCACCAATTGAAAAGTGGTGAACTATTCCAGCACCAAAGGTGTCACCAAGAACATTAATCATTGTGCGGAAACGATCCCTAAATGTTGAAACAAAATATTTTAAAATCTTCCTTAAACAAATTTACTTAAGAACATATAAAGATAAGATGAGGTAAACCAGGATAAAAATTGTTAAGTTGCTCTAAGGCATCCTACTATTTATATATTTTCTATAATTGTTAAGTTGCTCTATGGAATCCTATTATTTATATTTTCTGTTGACAAAATTGTCGAACAATAAATTTAAGATTTTACAAGGGCCTATGTCTCATTATGCAACCATTCTGCCTTTTTCAAGATATCTCTGATTTTGAAGATTTATAATTTTAATGTAGATTTCATAACTTTAATTTTTTTTTTAATGTTCCATTCATCTCTTTAGCTACGGTATTCTAGTTCGAGTAACTAAAGAAAAACTTACAGCAACCAATCTATAGCAATGATCATGCCCACTTCATCAGTAGGAAATCCCACTGAAGACAACACGATCACCATGGTTACCAGACCAGCTTGAGGCACACCTGCAGCACCAATGGCGGCAGCCGTTGCTGTTAGGCTAAATTAAAAGTTCCAATGTGTCTCTCTAACTTAAGTCTTTTACAAAATCACTTTTGCAATCATGGGCATATATAAATTATTATAAAGCTATAATTTGATACATTTATATTTAAAAACTTTTTTTTGGATTGATTCTTATTTTAAATTGTTAAAAGATTTAACTAATTTTAGAATGTGTCTCCTTGCCCTTTCAGGGTTGCTAATGTAGATAAAGAAAATTTTAAAATAAATTATATTATATCTTACATAACTCAGCTGATACCCTCAATCATTAAGTTTTTGTAAAATCATTCTGCCATGCGCTAAAGTCAATGGTTAAGTTTTTGTAAAACCATTCTGCCATTGCTAGATTTAATTGTTAAATGATTTTTAAGGCAGAAAAATAATTACCGGTGGTACTATTTTTTAGAAAAATAAAGACTTGGTATATCACACTACTACCTGGACAAAATGCTAAAGTTAAAGAGTAGTAAAAAACCCCAAAACTTTATGTAGACTCCAAACGGCATATTAAACTTAAAAAGGTTAATCACAGTTAAACATGAAACAGGAATCAAGACCAAAAGAGGCTTATAAATCATGAATGACAAGAGTTCAATCCATCATGATTTTCTTACCATATTGTAATGACTTCTCCGATTCCCATTTCATAGCCTCTGACTTGACCAATGAAAATGACAGCAACGGCTTCGTAAAGTGCCGTACCGTCCATGTTTATGGTTGCCCCAACTGGTGCAACAAAGGAGGTCACTCTTGGATCTATTCCATTGTTTTCTTCAAGATTTCTCATTGTTACCGGCAGCGTCGCTGAGCTATAAATAGTAACAGGTTAAGTGTCGCTGAGCTATAAATAGTAACAGGTTAAGTGTCGCTGAGCTATAAATAGTAACAGATTAAGTGTCGCTGAGCTATAAATAGTATCAGGTTAAGCTAATAAGGGAATATAAATATAGATCTAAAGAATGATGGCTAAAAGATTTGATACTTTTTTTTTCACTTTCACTCTTGCATAAAGGAAAAGTTTTTCTGTTTTTGAATAGTGTAAAATAAGTCTCTTTGTAATTGTAATGTTTGTTTTATTGACCTTCCACTTCCATTGTACAGTAATGAAAATTGTGTGTACGACTCACTAGACTAAAGAAATACATGCAAGCCATAGCTGCATTTCGTATTGATTTTTATGTTACCATCATCAAAATACTAAAGTGATGAAATACATAGTAGGTATAAATTAGTATGTGATAATTGCGCAATCACCTTGAAGATGTTCCTAGTGCTGTTAACATTGCTTGAAGGACACCCAACATAAACCTGCGAATAATACCGGCTATTAAATTTAAAAGACTACATTAAATTTAGTAAAAGTAGAAGATATTGAAAAGAAAGTAAGTAATTAAGTGGCCAGATCATTGGAGGGTGGACAGAAAATGTTAAATCAAAATTAAATATAACTAGCTTAGATTTTATTTAGTTAGAAGCACTAATAAACAGGATCAAAGGACACTAACTAATAAACATGATCAAAGTAGATCAAATATTTTGACATTAAATATAATTTAAAATAAACAACTATAACTCAAAGATGTTCAATATTTGTTAACTTTCTATGACAAGTACCGTATCTAAAGTAACTTAAAATTGACAATGGTCACAATGCGTGAAGAAAATAAAATTGAGCTTGTATAGTCCATGAAATATAAGAACAAGGTTATGCTAAACTTGAATTCATAAACAAGACAAAAGATTATTATCTTGTGTAGTCCATGAATAGCCATATTAAGTCTTACCAAACTTAGCACAGTGCAACATTAATAAAGTATGAATCATTTTAATTGAGGTCGTTTCATTTTTTCCTACATCTAATTGGTTTTGAGGTACCGGTATCTTAAGCTTATTAAAATATATCACACAAAGCTTGCTCACTTGTAAGGATTTTTTCGGACCAATACAAAATAGATGAGTGGGAGCACAATGAGACCGTGAATGGCCAGGCCCGCCATGACTGTCAGAAAGTAGAAACCCAGCTGCTCAAATGATTTTAATGGGTCGTTCATGGAGACAACTTGGTTGGCTACAAGGAAGAGAACTCCTATGGGGGAATACCT